AAAAAAAAAAAAAAAAACATACACACACAGGGAAATGGGGATGCCACATTTTACTTTTTAGCACCTTCTCCTCTTTTATCATTAGCATTTTTCTAGTGATTTATCTACCCTCTTTAGCTAATTGAAGAGACCCTTCCCTCATTAATTTCAAGCTAAGACTGTTGAATCTCTCCCGAGAATACTGTCGTGATGCTTTTCTCCAGTCCGTGCCGGCTTTCATCATAGCAGCGAATTCTTCAAAACTTATGCGCCCGTCCTGCACGAAAAACCAATCGCCAACAGCTCGAAATTTAGTCCAAACATTTTTTACGATTAATGGTAAAAACTTAAATACAAATTGGCACTCATGGTATGTGCATATATTATTATATGCAGTGACCTTATCTGTGTCGACATCATGCATGATGGCAATGATAACTTCCTCGTTATTGGCATCATCTTCATCGCTCAAAGCATCTCGTAGCTCCTCAACCTCTATGTAACCACTTTTGTTTCTATCAAAAAATCCAAAGGCTTTGTGCAAGTGCTCGTCATTGGCCATTTTTCTTAGATGAACCGAAACAGCAACAAACTCCGCGTAATTCAATGTTCCATCTCCATCAATATCCGCCTAAAAACAAATGAACATAAAAACTAAAGCGTGCTTTTAGAAACAACACTAAAGTGACAAAAGATCACAAATTTTGCTTGATAAGGGTTCGTAACATTTTCCAGAACAAAGAACAAAAGCAATCGATTTCAGGAAAATTTCAACGATTGAACTGTAAATAATTATAATTATTTTAAAATATCATAACAGGACATAAAATCATATATAGTAGAAATGAGGGAATGATTGATGAGATCACAAATGTAACCCTTACAGCTTCCATTAAAATCTGAAGATCGGTATCTGGTATTTGGTGGCCAAGCTTGTGCAAACCGACTTTGAGTTCTTCAAGGTTAACCTTACCCTTCTTGCCAGTGTCCATCTTGTCAAAAGCTTCCTTAATTCCAGCCACTTCCTCCACAGACAAGTGCTCGGCTACGACCTGTATAACATGCCAAGTATATACAAAAATAGTGTTACCAATGGAGCATTTCAAATTTTTCCATTCTTAAATCAAATTGTAATTACCAGGGATGATTACAAAAACCACCCGAGCTTTAGCTGAATTATAAAAATGGCATTTTTTCCTTAAATCACGCATAACACCCTAACCTTTTGTTTTTGTCTTGCAAAAGATCATTGGCCATCTGCCAATTTAACTGAATATAAGAGTGGTTGTTTTTTTTTTTTTTTCTTTTTCCTTTTCTTCCTGGTATTGTTTTAGATTAAAGTAGGGTATTACTACGAAAAATTGTAATAACGATATTAGTACCCGTAGCGCTCTCTTTTTGAGCTTATTCATCACGGAAAATTGCTTGAGTCTTGCTTTCACAGTCTCACCAAGTGAGACATTAGGGGCCTTATTTATATTCTGCAGCCAAGGGTGCTCTGCATATAAAGAAGCACATTGAAACAAAAATGTACTCTTAGTTTTACCTTCAGTTTCGGTTTTTCACTAAAAGCTGAACTGAGGAAAGGAAAATATTACCAAGGACTTGCTGCGCGGTGAGACGTCGGCCAGCATCTGGATTGAGCATTTTCTTAACGAGATCCTTTGCACTGTCTGATACTTTAGGCCACGGGTCTCTCTTAAAGTCAATCACAGATCGGATAATCGCTTGTGCTACTCCTTGCTCAGTTTCTGGGCAAAAAGAAAAGGAATAAACGCATGGGAATAACTTTGCTCCTACAATTCTCAGAAGTTTGCAATTCAACTTTTTTAACACCATTAATAACAGTTCTGTCCATCTTTGCTCACGGCATTGGTAAAAATCATCTGAAAAATTACACTACACCTTATCTGCTGGCAGGTCAAGAAATGGAATGATTTAAGTTACAATGTGTTTTTCTCAAGTGAAACGAGGCAGGAGATTAAACAACAAAAAGATTGTTGCAGACCGTTCTTTTTATTCTATTGTTATATCGTCTGAAAAAACTCATTGACCCCCAAAAAATCTAATTTTCACAATGTTGATTCCATCACAACAATTTCAAGATACTCTTTTATGTTGGTTTTTTAACTATTTTCACACACATCCCTTATCGCGAACAAAAACTATTGAAACTGACCTGCCCAGAAGGGAGGAACGCCACAAAGTAAAATATAAAGTATAACTCCAGCACTCCATATGTCGACCTCTGGGCCATAATTTCGTTTCAAAATCTCTGGAGCCATGTAATAAGGACTTCCAACAATCTCATTAAAACGCTCGCCTGATGAAAATGGCAATCATAAAAGTTAAATGGACACAGATTTAGTGTGCAAATCAGAGGAGGTGGGTCATCTGAAAAGACAATTGAAGGACAATATCACCTACCGGGTTTGAAGAATACGGACAAACCAAAGTCGATTGCTTTTAAGGGGCTTGTTTCTTTCTTATTTGCAAAAAGAAAGTTCTCAGGTTTGAGATCACGATGCATCACTCCTTGTCTGTGGCACATCTATAGTACGATTGAGTAACGTTAAGTCAGGTTTTATAGTCTAAACAAACTCAATACACATATAAACAAGTGACTATAAAATAAGAAAAGAATTGAACAACATAAAGTATTCGGAGAATATGATCTTCCATAAGCAACTAAAGTCCACCAATAACACCACAATTTCCAAAGCACAAACAAAATTCAAAGTCCATTCAAACCCCAAAAAACGCAAAATTTGATTGCAAAATAAAACCTGAACGACTTCCACAATTGTCCTCATCACATACGCAGCTGCTCTCTCCGTGTAATGCCCTCTCGCCACAATCCGGTCGAACAGCTCACCACCTTCACACAGCTCCATAACAATATGCACTGCACTATCATCCTCGTATGTCGCTTTAAGGGTCACAATGTTCGGGTTCTTGGGCATGCGTGTCATGATCTCAACCTCCCGCCTCACGTCATCTATATCCACAGCCGTTTTAAGCTTCTTTTTGGATATAGACTTGCAGGCCAATTTCTCACCAGTCTCAACATCAGTGCATAGGTAAGTAACCCCAAATTCTCCCCTGCCAAGCTCCCGACCAAGATCATATCGAGCGCTTATGTCATGGCCCGTCGGGTCTTTCAGCACGACCAGCTTGTCCGGCCCGCCCGATCCGTTGGCAGCACCATAGTCAATCGAAAATGGGTTGGGTTTGTTCTTTTTCTTCTTCGCTTTGGGCGAACCAGATGGGGCGGCACAGCAGTTTCCCATGGTTTAGTCTCGATTGTGCTTAAGAATTCACGGTGCCCCTGATATTTTTCTTTTCTATTTCTGAACTGCACGTCAATAGATCACATCAAGAAACACTGCAGAGAAAATTGGTTTGTGTTCGCTTATTACATGATTGAAATGTTGTTAATCTGGATTTGTTCAAAGATTTTGGCAATTTCGTGATGAAAAGGTTGAAAGAAAATTTACCTTTTACGGCAAAAAAGAAGCTATTTTTCCAACTGGGTAATCAAAGAAAACGTAAAATTATTGATTTCTGAAGCGAAAACAAAAAAACTCGTAGAAATTAATCATAAAAAACCTTCATGGCATCATCAATCAGACGCCATGGATCCAAAAAAAACAATAAAAAAAAAAATTTGTGAAATAATGAGAAAAATGTGACCTACCCAGAACGTGCGCACGATTGCTCTGTGGAAAGAAAAAAAAATGCGGTGAAGAAGAGCTCAGGTCAGATTAAGAAGAAATGCAGATATAAAACGAAGGGCTTAGGAGAGAGAGAGAGAGTCAAAAAAGTTCTTTAACGCAGAGATTTCTCTCTCTCATGAAGAAGATGAAGAAGTTCCTACTAATAAATCCCTTCTCCGTTTCTCTCGCTGCTTTCATTTATCGCTATTTTGCTCCTTTTGTTTTGTGAATGAATTAAACAAACACCTTGTATTTTCTTGTTTTTGTTCACCTCTTTTTTTACTTGTTAAAATAAAATATTAATTGGTAGGACTTAATTTAATTGCCACATAGATGCCATGTAGACAATTCGGCTCTATAAAAGAGTCAACTATTGGCTCCTAGCGGGTATTGTGTATTAGGACATCCCCTTATATATTAACTAGTGCGTGGCCCGTGCGACGCACGGAAAAACAATATTACGATTGTGTTATAAATTAAATATACAAATAAATTAATCAAGATTTACCCACTGTTTTAAAGTTAAACCGTGTTGGACACAGTCCGACAGGATGGACCGAGAACCAGTTTATAATCAGTCTAGTTCATTTGAATAAAAATATTTGCTATTGAATCCATCAACACCAGTCGGTTGAACTGGTAGGATCGATACGATTTTCTAACTAAATTTTGCTCTATTTAAAATTATTTTAAATAAAATTAAATAAAATAGAGATTTATAAATCGTTTATCAATTAATTTAAACATTTGAATTTTTAAATTGCTTAGATATTTAAGTAACACATTTTATTCAAATTTATTACAAAAAGTACTATATATAAATATATATATAAAGCGTATTTTTAAAGAAAAAATATAAATTGTATAATTTTTATAAATTGAATTGTATGATTATATTAAAGTGTATTTATAAATTAAATTGTATGATTTTTAAATAAAAAATAAGAAAAATAATAAACTACTATTTATGGGTTGCATTAAATGTTGACCTATTTTTTTGCTACTAATTTTAGTAAATATGATAGATTTTTATATAAGTCTAGATTCAGAACGTGTTGAGCCAAAGTAGCAGACTCGCACGCTTTTGAATCTTACATATCACAATATCATTCTTTGTATATAGATTCAGATAAATATTTTAGAAACAAAACTGGCTTGGAAAGTATGCCATAAGTTATTTTTTTCATGTACATTATTGTCTCCCATAATCTCTCTTTCATTACCAAATTTGTCTTTTTAAAGATCACACAAACCTTTATTTCCTTATTTCATTTTACTAAAGATTTACCAATCAAATACAAGTTGATAAATCTTAGCCATTTTTGAGTTTGTGTCTTTGTTTGCGTAATGAATATGATGAACTAAAATTATATATTATAACTAGTACAACACCCGTGTATTACACGGGTATTTGCTAATTTTTTCTTAAAATATAAAAGTAATGAAAAAAAAATAGTTGAAATTTCAAATGCCTTTTACAAAAATATATATTATTAATTATATATTTAGTATGACATTTTTTTGTGGGCTTACCTGTGTCATATTATAATAATTTTAACTTACAACATATAACTACAATAAAAATAAATATATCAATTGATAAATAATTTTATTTTTCTAATGAATTTTAATAAATATTATTATTCTTTATTATTATAAATAAATATAATTTATTTATTTCATATATACAATATGGATGTCAAATCGAAGATAATCAAAAGATGATTAATTTGATATATAATATATGTAAAACCGATAAGAAATACAAAAGTTATCAACTTTTAAAATACATTTACAATTCAATAGTTAATTGAAGGAAACAAATCAAAGTCAGAGATATATTAGTCACTTAGTGCTTCACTATGTAAAATTACAAATAATTAAAGGGTTATATTAGTACAAGTGATATTAAAATTACCTAAGTTAGATAAATAATATTTATAGAATGTCCGAACCTAGTAGATTATTAATTATTAATATATCATTATTATTTGTCTAAACCTAATTACGAAGCATGATTCTTCGTCAAGTAGGATTATGAAGCACCAGAAGCAGCCACGTAGGCTCAACGCATTCATGAATTATATATAGGGAGGATTTTATTGATCATATAATTAATAAAATCTTACACACTTCAATTATCTTAATTCTAATTAGTTTTAGCCCTTAGCTTAATTTTTATCATCACTTATCTTATTTTTCTGAGTTGATAAATTTAGTCCATTCATCATATTTTCTTTTTATTTTTTTCAAGTTAATAAATTATAAATAGAACTAATAATGTTGCTTACAAAGAAATTTTTGAATTTGATATAAATTCATGCAACCATGTAGTACGCGGGTGTCGTACTAGTCATTATATTATTTTCGGAAAAAAAATACATTAGGAGCTCATTTGTTATATATATTATTTCGTACTTGCAATGATATATTTAATAAATTAAAAAATTTATTTTACTAAATTTAATCGACAAAAAATATTCACCACCACGTGCATCGCACTTGCCGTTTATTACTACTTTTTAAAAAAGTCTTATCACTTATCCATGAACAATTACTGGAGCCTGATTATTCATTTCAATTTTACCTAGGTAAAAGTTGTAACATTATTATTACCCTCTTATTGAGGAAAACAAAGGGTCCATGCATGTACTTAGAACATCATGGGACAAAGACAAACAAAATCTCAGTTTAAGCTTTCAGCTGCGCAAGGATGACACGCATAAATCGAGAAACAATCTTAATTTTTTGTGACAACATATCATCATTCATTTAACACACCCAACACAAATGTCCAATAAAGGCGCCAAATTTACCTTAAAAGTTGTCACAAACAAACAGAAAACCAAAGTCCTGTTTGCAGAGGCCGACAGCCAGTTTGTAGATGTTTTGCTAAGCTTTCTAACACTTCCCTTAGGAAAAATTGTGAAAGTCTTGGGGAGCCATTATGGGGACATGTGCTCGGCAATCGGGAGCCTAACCACTTTGTATAACGGTTTGGTCGAATTGGACATTTCTAATTTTGAGGCAGAGGGAGGTAAGCTGATGCTGCTCGACCCAGTGAGTCCGCCTGCTGCAAAGTGTCGTAACCTGAAACTCAAAATCAATGATTATCGGGCCACGAGATATTTTTGCTGCCCGGATTTATCTTGCGTTTGTTCGAAAAAGGAGAACATGAGTTTGTATTGGGGCATTGCAAGGTGTGAGTGTGGGAAAGCTTTGACAAGAGAAGTGCCGTTGAGGAGTGTTAAAACGTCGTCCGAGCGTGGTAATGGAGGTTTTGTTGTTAGTGGATCGACCTTCGTCATATCTGATGATCTGATGATAATGCCGAACACTCCATCGTCCGTTTTAAAAATTCTTGGCAATCTTGGGATTACAGCAGACACTGATTGGGATTTGAAGGATGTGATTATTGGATATGATGAGGTTTAGTGTTGGTACATTTTACATTATTTTTCCTATCAATATTTCCTATCAATATTGTCTTGATATTTTTTTTTCTAAGTATATGTTTTTTTAGGTCATGGGTTTGTTAAGAGGATTGTTTCTTTCCGGAACACCCCTGACGGACATCGTTCTTAGCAACGGGCAGATTAATTTGGCAATACGAGCCGAACCCATAATTCCTCCACCTAAGGCTGAACCAAGACTAAGTTTCTACTATTACATGTACGAAAGTATAGAATTGAAGGTCATTATGCAAAAGTCGACCAACAAGCTATTGTTTGCTGAAGCTGATGAGGTCTTCATGGAGTTCGTATTTGGTCTTCTCATGATTCCGCTAGGAGAGGTTGGGCGACTTCTGGACTGTAAAACTTTTTTTACGAACGTGGACAATTTGTACTCGAGCGCTAAGGATCTCATTAACAGCACGTATATTTCCGACCGTGAGAGTGCCATTAGCAGTCTTGTCGTCCCAACAGTACCTCATGGTTATGTTTCAGAGAAATTTTTTCCTCTTGTGGATGAAGAAGCTAGTAAAATGTACTACTATCAAGGCAAAGGCCCTAGAAATGACGAATTTATGTCCGATTCTCCCTTTATGGGAGGTTCATGTCTCAAGGTTACTGACTTCAAGTTCGATTCACTATTTAAGGGACCAAGAATATATATGGTGAATGATGACTTATGCGTGACACCAGCTTCTAGTATTACATCGTATCTTTCCAATCTCGGCAGGCTAAAAATTCCTTTGTCCGATGTAACTGAACGAGTGGTGCATGTTGGATTGGAAGAGGTACATAATATAATTCTAAATGCGAATGAGCAAAGTTGTGTTTTTAGTTTTACTAACTAATGACATCGATTTTTGATCGATGCAGGCTTTCGGCATATTGAAGGCATCTCTTGTTTCGAAGCGTGCTTTGTCCTGTGGTCTAAATCACTTGTTGATGAAGCAGACAAAGCAAGAAAACTGAGGAGAGATGGTGGGTGCTATAATGTACTGAATTGAAATTTATTGTTCAGAAAAAGCTCGATTTTTAGAATGGTCTAGATTATGATTGCGGTGGCTGACAATCTTGATTTGAGATGTAAAATGTCGTCTGTGCGACTCTCATTATGAAATGCTCCTAATGTAACCAGTTCAATTTCCATGGAAAATGGAAGGTCGGGGTAAAACATAATTGTGTTTTGAGAACAAACGTCGTCACTAGAATTATTTTTGAATTTTTTGTGCAATCGTTTTTCATACTTGGCTGCGTAGATTTCTCGTTCTTTGGTTACAAATGAGAAACTCATATGTTACATTTTGTGGAAGCTCGAAATGATTTACGTGGTGAAATTTGATGGTTTTTGAACAGAAGTCATTTATAGAATCTAAAGAATCATTTTTATGAAGCAGATTGGTGTTGCAAATACAATTAGGGGTAGGGAATGGGCCTGCAAGTCCAAAAATCTAATGAACAAATGACCAAAACAATTAATGTATAATTTGATTGTTTCGTTGCGTTTTTGTTAGTGTTATTCATGTTTCGATTAGGTTACAGATTTTCTGCAAGGCGTGCTCGTGTCACGGACTCCTTTGACCACCTCGTGTATTTTGTTCACAAATGCCCAGTCTAAAAGGAGTTCACTTTCTCATTAGTTGTTGTGCATATTTTGAAGCAGAATTTGGTGAAAATCTTGGATGAGTTTGTGGAATTCGTTGAGACCATGTCCAGTTTTCGAGCGTCCGTTGGTTTCTGTTGGTGCTTGTAAGAACGAGAGGCCAACTACATAATCACGACATTTCTACTCATCGATCCTTCTTTGCTCCTTGTTCAATTGCAAATCTGTAACGTTGAGAAAATCTGTAACATTGAGAAAATGACTGTGAGAGCCATTTTGCAGAGATCCACTAATAAGCTACTTTTTGCTGAAGCAAACTATGAATTTGTGGATTTCCTATTTAGCTTGCTGGAGGTCCCCCTACGAGTGGTCGACTGCCTATTGGGCAGTGACGCTTGTCTTAAAAATATATAGGTAACTTGTACAAAAGTGTCGGGAATATGAGAGATGACAAGCATTTGAAGAACGAACATGTACTCCAGCTCGAGCCATGGGTATCTAGCTTACATGTTCATGTTCACTGACAATTGTAGGCGTGGAAGAGGTTAGTTTTCATGTTTCGATATAGAAACATTCGACATATGATACTCTTGTACTCACTATCCTGATTTATAATGAGAATTCATATGTGATGATGCTAACCCACTGGAAGCAATGACAGTCGAATTCACTCTTAGATCGAGTGTCAAGAAGGTCTATGAAGTAAAGATTAGCTAAACTACTGGAAGCAACGACAGTCGAATTCACTCTTAGATCGAGTTATCTTAACTGGTTTAATGGTTCACTGATTTGACTAGTGGTTCAACCGATTGGACCTATATTCAATTTATTAAAATTTTTAAACATATATAATATTTTATATAATAAAATTATACATAACACTTTGTTAGTATTGGACCGGTTCAAACCGGTATGACCAAACTGATTTTGGACGGTTAGCTGGCCATTGGTTCATTCCAATGAACCGCCGGTCCAACCGTTCAGAGTAGCCGGCCCGGTTCGATTTTGTAGAACATGGAAAAAAGTGAATAAAGATTGGGTAAATTGTAATTTAATCCTATTTTCCTTCATTACAGAAAATGACAGTTGTCATAAATGTAGAAGAAAAGTCGCTGTAAAAAAGAAGACAAAAAAAAAAGAATAAAAAAAACTCCAAACAACCGCGATAGCGATAGTTTGGAAATGAAGAAAACAGGGGGCGGCGGTGGAGCTGCCGGCGACAAAAAGAAGGGCCGCCGCTCCGACTCCGTCGCCTGCACCGCTCCTAGGGTTAGTGCATATTTTCTGTACCTTCGTGTTTATGAACATACGATCACGCGTTTTGGTGTTGGGATCTTGTTTTGGGGATTTTGTGTCTGCTAATGCTCGGACGTTGTCCAAAAAGATCTGTGATCACTTATTTTACCTACAAAATAACATTATTTATCGTTTATTTGGGGAAATTTTGTTGTTTTGATGCCGGAGTTATATGAGGGAAGTTTGACAATACTTAGCAAAGTTAGGGAATACGATTTTGCGGATGAAGTTAGCGGCGAGTCATGTCATCAACTATGGCGATTTGAAGATCTGTTTTGCAGAAAAACAAGTACTTTCTGTGAATTATTTCATTTCTCAGAAACCTTATTCAAATACATTTCTGTAGCTTAGGCATGAGTTTTGACCTTAGGCCATAGAGCTTCAAAACCGAAATCGGTGGCAAAGAGAAAACGGAATATACTGTTTTCAAGAAATAATCGCCATTGCTGCTTTCACTACTTTATGACTGAACTTTGCTTCGCCAATACTTTATCCTTCACTTCGAGCTTCCTCCTTTTTTTTGCCCCTTATGATGGTGGGTGAGCATGTCTTCTCAGTTAAAACTATATCTTAATTGTCACCGGGGGTTCACTTTTAGTTTTTTCTGTAGGCGTATAGCATATGTAGAATAGAATTATGTAGAATATAAGAGCTAATAATGCTTTGTGATTCAGAAGAGAAAATAGAGTTAATTTTTCCTGTTAGTCACCTTGTATAGTCATTTCTTGAAGTCAGTTTCTACAATTTTATGGCATCTTTGGAATATTATGAGAGTAAGCTTGATTCAACTTTTCAATTACAACAACAACAACAACAACATACCCAGTATATTCCCAACTGGTTGGGGTCTGGGGGGTCAGTTGTACGCAGACCTCACCCTTGTACTAATAGAAGAAGCACTAGAATTCAATTGTTGTAGAAATTTTAGTTCGACATGCTTTTGCTACTTCTGAATATCCCCTTGATGATGTGGTGGTGTTATATATTTTGATGTGCTTGCGTTTTATACCCCCCCTGAATGAAGCATAATATCTGCCTATTCTCCTAGTTGTATCCTTTCTTGTTTCTATTAGTTTTGTTGTTTCTTCATGCTTGATGATTTTCTATTTTGTTATTGATCAGGGTGGAATTTTTCATATGCACTAGGGCACATAATAGAGGGTCCTCTGAAAGTGGCATGAATATTTAAATGCAGAAATATCCTATATTCTGGATAAGGATTCCTGTGTCGTTTTGTTTCTGGTTTCTGTTGTTTGTTTTAATTGGCATCGGTTGTTAATTATTTTTCAAGCATCTTGTTATGGGTTGATTCATTAAACAGCACTATATATCCTACTTGTAATCGGTGACAGGATCACATCCAATATTGCATTTTTATTTGATCAGGCAACAGGACCTGATAGCAACCCCAGTATGGACTAGGACGACCTCTTTTATCCTAAGAATAGAACTCATAACAGTTTTTCTAATTGCTCTGTCTGTGATACTATTTGTAAGACGTGAAATTGATTATATTCACTCTTCCCTGACCTGTATACATCTGAATTTCAGAAGCAGGCTGTAAGAGAGGATGTTTTCCAGATATTTGCCGAGCGAGTTAGGAATCATAAGGATCTGGAGTCTAGGTGGGCTGTCTTACAGGAGACTCGAGTCGAATATTTTAGAGGAAAAGATCTTGTTAGTTTTTTGAAAAGTCATCCAGAACTCAAGGACTTACTTGAACAAGATAAGAACTTAGAAACTGAAGATATTGCTAACATTTTGCTGAGAAAGAGTCTTATAGTGCGATGTGACCGTGTTGTCAAAACTGTTCGGCCTGGAAAGAGAAAGTTGTCTACTTGGCCTGCGCATTTGGAGATATTTGCAGTAAGTTATTTTTTATTTTCCTCTGCAATGTGATGATAGACTTTTTTTGTTTGTGCAATAATTTGGTTGGCAATTTAAAGGTTAAGTATTTTTTCTTCCCGTGATCATGACATGGATAAAGGTCTTCCTTTATCTTGGCTACCAAGATGGACGTTATGGTAATCTGATATGCACTTATATGTGATCTCAGCATTGTTTGTCTGAGACTAAGAGTTTATGCATTTATTTAGTGTCTGTGCATGTGTTCGCGTGCATGCATGCGTATTCTAAAAGTGATTTTCTTCCTTTCTTTCTTTCTTTCTTTTTTTTTTCTTTTCTTTCTTTTGAGATCCACATTCTGCTGGTTCTTGAGTTTGGTTGGAGCGTATAGAGGCAAGAGTGCAAGTATATTAGTTTCGATTTAAAATGAAAACTCAAATTTTTATTAATGAGAATAGGTGACTGCACCTCAGTTCATATATAATAATTATTTGGATGGATTTTACAATGCAGGATCAAGTGTTCTCTGGTAATGATGCTTTTTTCGCTTGGACTTTTGTGAACCGAAGGCCACTATGGCAGACTCTACTCTCGTTTTTCTGGCCTGTTTTGACTCTGGCCATCTGCTTGTTCCCTGTGTATCCCCACCAAGTCAAGATTCTTATACTCTACTTCTGCGCTGGTGTACTGCTTCTCATACTCTGCCTCCTTCTACGTGAGTTTGTTTTGTCCTAATCAATGCTGCGTTACATAGCTTATTTTAAGAATCCATCAATTATGCATGTAAATCTTCACAAAATATTCTAGAGCTTATGATATATGACTCACATGCTGTCTCTAAAACGTGTCAGATCGTGTCGAAACATTTTTAATTTCCATTTTTGCATCAAATGTTGTGTTAACAACTCTGACCAAAAACATATCTGCTTCTCTTTTGGAAGAGTGCAAAAGTACGATAACTGTCCTCTTTCTTGGGCTGATTTTGGTGGTTGATATTTGCATTTCAGTGAGGGCCCTTGTGTTTGGAGCTTTGTGGATCGTTTTAGGGAAACGTGTATGGTTCTTCCCAAACATACTTGCAGAGGAAGCCACACTGAAGGAATTATTCCAATTTTGGCCACAGAAGGATGAGGGTGATCGGCCCAAGTGGACAGCCCGATTGTTTTACGCGTTGGTGGCCGTTCTCGTCATTATACTTTTGAGGCACCATGCTCCTGATGAAGCTGCTAGAGCCAGGTATATTACATATGCTACTCGAGGTCTGTAACTACTTACAAATGACCTAGAGCGGTCTGAAAATTATTATTAAAAAAGAAAAAGGCTTGAGGATTGGAATCTATGTTCGAATTTAATTGATTCTTTTGTGATTACAGAGGGTAGTTTTTGAACTCTCTCACTGTGTTTTTGTGTTTTTTCATTTATTTATTTCCGGTGTCCTCCCCTGATGAAAAGGCAAGTATAAGATGGAGAGTTGTTCATCTAAGGTGCATTTTTAGCTGAAATAGCAAAATTTTCTCTTTTGACAGGTACCAGAAGAGGGTGTCCAATATAATTGATGATGTTCTTGATTGGTCCCCTAAGCTTGCCCTGTCGGGCATGATGGACAAGCAGAACGTGACTGCTTCCAAGAACGTCACAGATGGTGGGCCCGGGTCCGAATATACAGAAGGTGAAAAAACGGGAGCCGGAGGCTGAAGATCACCATCACAATTACTGACCGTTCAAAACGATGTGCAACCGATAGGAATCAAGTCTCACCCGATCGGCTCCAAATCCCTTTTCTTTTTTTCTTTTTTTTTTTCTTTTGTTTCCATGTTTTTGTTTTGCTTCTAATAATGTTAGCAGTGGTTTTCTGTTGTCTTGGGTCTACATTCTTCTACTGTTGCATAGATCAAGATTGTTTTTACATTTTGAACCAATATCTCTCTCTTTTTTTCCCCTCTTGTTTGAGTTGAGACTGTAAAATGAGATAAACTATAAAGATGAGATATAAAGGAGAAGGTGGTGCTTTTTTATAGACATTATTAGATTTTTTTCCTTGCGTTAAGCATTGACATAGATTTTCCCTTACATTTTTTTTCCTCTGTCTAGACTACAGTTATGCCATTCGTTCTATCAAAATCGTACATCGACTCATGTCGATACATTAGCCATTCGTACAGATTATGTGATTTTAATATCACATACCTATTGTGTGCGATATGCTAATCCGCTGTTAGGGTGTATATTTAGTAAAATTAGTTGATAAACTAATTAATAGTTGATAAGTCAGCTGGTGTTTTATAAATGAATTTTGAACTTATAGCTTATAATTTATGGCTTATAGTTGAAAAACTATGTGTTTAGTAGAAGGGAAAAAAAAATTTCACCCCAATACAAACACATTAAATTTTTTCACACCGCTCGATAAAAAACTAAGTTTTTCACCCCCGGAAAGTGCATATGCTTAATTGTCGCATTGCGAAGGTTATGCGAATAACTGTCGCATATCAATTGCATAACTGTCGCATATTCATCGCACAATGCCTTCGCATTTTGACTTTTTTTCACCCCAGAAAGTGCGAAGGGATATGCGAATGTCTTCGCACTTTTAACTTTCGCACAAGGTCATCGCGCAATTGTCGCATATTCATCGCACAATGCCTTTCGCACTTTCTGGGGTGAGAAACTTAACTTTTTATTGGACGGTGTGAAAAACTTAACAAGACTTCAAAACGAGGTGAAAATAGCTATTTTCACCTAGTAAAATTAGTTGTTTCGTTAAATTTGCTGATACGTCTGCTGAATAAAAGTTTCAACAAGCTTATTTGAAAAACTACTTGAAGAAACTTATTAGATAAGCTCGAACTTTTTTAAACAGCTCGTCCTATCGAAACAAACTTATTTGTATACATAAAGCTTTCAAGCTAACGAAATAAGCTAAAAAGAACAAAAAAAAGTAGGCTAGCTTATGATGATTACCGAAGATAAAGAGTTTTTATTGTTTTTTTGTTTTTTTTTTT